ATGTTTTGGCTTTGTAGCCTATGTAAGGAAAAGATAGCTGCCACCTTGTAGAATTAACAATAACAACTTTAGATGTTCATGATCCAAATCGGATCTTGTATTTTTTTAATTTATTTTTTTATATTATGTGTGAGTGTATTGCCTGAATGTAAGTGCATCTGTGTAGTGTAATGGAGGTCAGAAGAGGGCATCAGGTCCCCTCTAACTAGAGTTATGGACTATTTTTAGTTGCCAGGTGGGTGCTGGAAATTGAACCCAGGTCCTCTGCAAGAGCAAGCAGTGATCTTAACCGCTGAGTCTTCGCTCCAGCCCAAAAAAGGATTTAATTTCTGTTGACCTATGGAAACAAACAAAGAAAAATCTTTTTTTTGATGTTATCAAAAAATGCAAACAACAAGAATAAGATATTATAATATTTATAAGGTCAAGCCTGTATATAGACAAAAATTATATGTCTAGAATTTCAGTGTAACTTTTTCAGACAAGAGAAAGTGAGCCTCAACTCTCAACACTGGTACTTTTTGGTGGGTATAAATTCTGGTAGCTCTGCCTCTGTCATTGGGAATGCTATTCCTGAACTTCATCTTTGCACATAACTAAAAAGAATCCCTGTAATCATAAATGGAACAACTGGGTTTAGCAGGGGCAGGAATCCTTGTGATGCTTTTCTATGGCTAAACTCCAATCATGCTAAGAGTGATGTATCTTTGAAATTTTCAACAACTTTTATTAATTTATCTTATCCCAATTGTCAAACAGAGTTGAAGTCAAGACTTCTGTAAAATTTATTTGGCAGAGAATCTTAGAAAGCTGGTATTACAACTATGGGAGGCGAATTAAAAAATAGGGGTAAAGAGCAAAAATTCAGTTAAAAAAACTAGGGTCCGCACTTGGTGTTGAATGTCTTTAATATCAGCATTCAGGGGGCGTAGCTCGGTGAAATCAAGGTCAGACTGGTTTACATAGTGAGTTCCAGGCTAGCTGGGGCTACAGGGAGATCCTATCTCAAGGCAAGCAAAGAAACCAAACAAACAAAAATGAACATTTTGGAGGTGATATTTTAAAAAATATTTTATTTATTATTTTTATTTTATGTGTATGAGAATATTTCATGCATGTGTGTAAGGGTGCCCATGTGGTGCAATGCCCAAGGATGTCAGAAGAAGACTCAGAGCCATTTGGGTGTTAGGAACTGAACACAGGTTCTCTGCAAGAGTGGCCATTGCTCTTAACTGCTGAGTCATCTCTCCAGCCCCTGGAGTTGACTTTTGAAGGACTAACTGAAATTCAATACTCAAGGATCTTCCGGGGGCTTTTGGAAAGGCTCTTGAATTTGTCCAACTCAGGGTATGATATCCAGGGAAGTCTTTTCTTGATGACCTTTTTGTCTTTCATTGTCTGCTGTTCAGTAATTTCCTGGATTCTCGTAACTATGTAGTCTAGTGTGAACTTTGAGCTGCCCAAGTTACTTGGCCAAAGGATATTGTGTACACTACAGGGAAGACGGCATTTAATTAAAAGAGGATGTTTGAACCCGCCATAAATATTGTTTGCCATAGCTGGGCCTGGAATCAACTGTGACAAATGTTACACAGGACAAGTTAGTATGAAGTAGGATTTTCATTTTCTCTTTAGACATGTGAGAGAGACAAATGTTATTGACCTTTGTAGGCAAGAGGGAGGAGAACCTCAAAAACGGATTGAAACTTGCCAAAGGTATAGGTCACAGCACAGTAGGGACATGAGTTCCTAAAGGAATATCAGGTGCTTAGTCTTTCCTGAGCATTATTCTTCTTCAAAAAATTCAATTCCTAGTGCAATCAAGGGGTCTTTGGTCTTTCTATTCTTATGGAAATTGCTTTATGTGCATAGATATTTAATCTATTGCATCATACCACTTGTCTCATGCAGAATAAAGATAAAAATAAATTTAGGAAGAGCTTTAAGCTTATTTTTTATTTTATTTTTAATTTTGTTTTATTTGCTTATTTATGTTTAGTGATATTTTCTTCTGTTAATGGAGCAGTATCTTTTCTGCTGGTTGGATCTCCTGGAACTGGAGTTACAGATGGTTGTTAGCTGCCATGTAGGTGCTGGGAACTGAACCTGAGTCCTCTGCAAGAGCATCTAGTACTCTTAACTATTGAGCAGTATCTTTTCTGCTGTGGCTTTGTTTTTCTTTTATTTTTTATTATAGCATATGCAAAATATACTATAACATGGGCATGAGATAAAATTTTTTAAAACAAATGAAAAGTTACACATCAACTTGATAAATCAAGACATCTTTCATCTCTGTATATCTTTTGATGCAGTCTTATTTTATTTTTACTCTTTTGAAATATACAGTCATATATATTTTCAGTAAAAATATGTGCTTCGCTTCCCATGTGATCAATGATCTTTCCTACTCTCATATTTTTATATTTCAACAAAGTTTTATACAAATTGTATGCTTGTAATCATCAGTTTTAGTAATATAAATCCAGTACTTCATTCCTTTTTGCTTTACAAATGACATAATTTCTTTTAACTCATTGATTTTAAAAAGAATTGCTTTACAGAATTCAAAGATGTGTCCCCCAAATGAAATAAGTAGTTGTAGACTTCATAGTACGGTACATTCACAGACCACTGCCGCGAGGGCATTTAGATCACTGCTTGCACATTGTGACTCAGCACCAACTCGCATCCATACTTCTAGACCTCACAGCCTTCTCAGTTTTCCCACTCCCGCCACCTACTGGTCCTTGGTACATATTGCTGCGTCTTGCTGGAACTGCTTCTAACCCTCCACTCTAAAGGACCTAGACAGTCTCTATATAGATCATCCGTTTAGCTGTGCAGATTGTCCTATAGCTTGTATTGATCACAAATGCTTTCCTAGTGATCCTTATGCATCCTGTCTTTGAAAAGCGGGCTATTTTCTTAGAATTTCTTTTTTATCTTTTAAAAGATACCTTCTCATAGTCTGTAAAAATATCTTGTTGCACGTGACATTTGTACTTCATTAGATGAACCCGTGGAAAAAGCTAAGTGACGATTTTTTAGACCAATCATTGTTAATGTTACTGAAAACATTACTCATTACCAATAAAATATAAAATTTGGAGGCAATTATTAAATGGAACTTGACATTGAAACACAAAAGGATTAACTAAGGCATCTGGTTATCCTGTGGGTAAGGCTCTAAGTCACCTCTATCTTTGATGTGATTTCCTGGACTTAAATGACGAAATCTTTGGAGTATAACCCAACATTCCTGTGTTATCTGCTGCTTGGATATTCTGCTGAATCTTCAACAACAACAATTGCGTTTCTTTTTTTTTTTTCTCTCTTTCTAGAACAATTGCTGTTAACTAAATCACCAGAAAAGCAATACCTAGGCAATAATTGAGACTTAATCAAATTTATAAATTTATAAAATTTATAAGATGGTAAATGTTTGGCCTTGTTAGTAGCTCTTGTATATTTTCCAGATTTCATTTAAAAACTTGATTTCTTACCTGAGAGTAAAGCTAGAGTAATTGAACACCTTTCCCCACATCTATTTCATGATCACATAACTTCATACTGAATGTCCTTGCCCCAATCCCACATATACTCTTGAATGTATTTTCTAAGAGTATTCTTCCTTCCAAATTTTGTATCATAATCCACCTAGTACTCCCTCTGAATTATAACTACTTTACATAAACATCTCTTATTTCATAATTCTCTATATAACAGGAAGTCATATATATATATATAAGTGTACAATTCACTTTTTTGTGAAAGTATTAAGAAATTGTAAAGAAAAATATTTGAAAAAATTTTCCAAATTCATAAGAATGGTTTTACTCTCTAAAATTAAAACGAGAGTTAAAGAGATAGCTCAGTGGTTCAGAGTGTGTACTGCTCTTGCAGGGGACCTGACTTTAGTTCACACTACCTGCATTGGGCAGGTCACAACCACTGCTTGTAGCTCCAATAGCCTCTTCTAGCTTCTTCTGGCATCTGCATTCACACACACAGGCACACACACACACACACACACACACACACTCACATACACAGACCTAATTAAATAAACAAAATAAGGACTGGAGAGCTGGCTCAGCTTTTAACACTGGCTGCTCTTGCAGAGGACCCAGGTTCAGTTCCCAACATCCAGATGATGACTAACAACTTCAGTAATTCCATTTCCAATGGATCCTATGCCCTCTTCTAGAGTCTGTGGGAATTTCACAATGTGGAGGCATGCACATGCAGGCAAAACACTCATAAAATAAAATAAATAAAAATAATATGAAATATTTTGAAAAATTAAATCATATTATATTAAAATGATAAGCACAAGATAGAAAAGCACATGGACATATTTGGAAGCACTTTTCAAGACAAGAAAATGAAAATAATGTTACTAAGATATATCAATTATAT